CGGGGCACGCCGTCCTGCCGGGATGGGGGTCCCGCTGGGCTCCCTCGGAAAGGCTTTTGGGGGCGGGGGTGGTTTGGGGGTGACCGCCGCTGTCCCTCTGTCCTGCTGCGGGCCTGGGCGGGAGGAATTCCGGGAGGTTGTTGGCACTTGGTGCCCTGCCCGCTGGGGTAAGAGTGCACTTTCTGGGCTGTAAAGTCACCTGTGAATATGACTAAGGAGAACGGGGAGATGGACCCGTGCCCGGCAAGCGGCGTGCTGGGTGTAAGCGAGCCTTGAGCCAGCCCTAATCCCATTCCCTGGACCCCAGGCAGGTTCTGCCCGAGCCAGAAGGGCCTGGCAAGGTGGATTTAATCTGCTCTTAAAGCTTCACCCGCAGGGAGCTGTGATCCTCTGGGTCTCCTGTGTGGTGCTGCTGTCAGCGTTAGGTGAGGCGCTGAGATCGTGGAGCGTTTCTCGCTGCTTGGAATCCGAGTGCTCTCCCTGTGCTCCCAGGCAGGCTGGGGAGCGGCGTTTCTGTCCTGCTGCTGCTGCTTGAAAACTGCTGCACCCTTTGGCCTCCTTCTCAAACACCCCCTCCTCCCTATCTTAATCCCTCAGGAATTTGGTAGACCTCAGACTTGTGTGGTGCCGGGGAGCTGGCACGGGTCAGAAGCCACAGAGAGCTGTGCAGCTTTTACTTGCAGATCCCAGCAGGGATTTCCATAGGTGGTCCGTGTGCTGTTCCGAACAAAGCGAGTGATCGCATGGTGGTTGGGGGAATAATGCCTAAAACATGTCATGTCTCTGTCTCCTCAAAGAACTACAGCTGGAGTGCCGAGGCTGGAAGTGGAGGTGATGTATTATGTATTAAGGTACCTCACTGGGACTGGTGGGAAGCTGGCCTTACAGAATATTAATATCTCATTTGTTTGCTTTTAAGGATGCGTCCCCAAGGGTAGGCGAGGATGTGCCCCTCTGATGTGTGCTTGTCTCGACATAATTTTTCTCACCTGACTTTATGTTGGTGGCTGGTGTAGAGTTGTGTCCCTGCTGGGATTTCACTGAGCTGTTGGAGCTGGTCGAGGTCTGTTTACCTGAAGTGTGTGCTGGAAGGGCATCAGCTCCCCAGTTCACTCGTTTGGACTGGGCAAGGACACAAAGCAAGATGAGATGAAGGCATCTTTCTCGGCTTGTGCACAAAAGTAGGAGTTGGAGCTCTGCAGTGTATTATCTGCTGCCTTTTGTATTCAGCACAGGTAATGAGGCTTGGACGGCATACATTAGCACCCTGTAACAGAGCACTTGACGGCTGGCAGTTGTTTGACTTGTATGTTGTGGCTAAATCTTCACATTAAAAGATTTGCGGCTTTTTTGTTCCGGTTCCCCTATGAATTGGCAGGTGAATTGCAGAGCTGAGCACACCCAGGACTGCTCAGCCAGCCCAGGCTGATAGCGAGCTTGTGCTTGGAGGTGTGAGGAGCTCTTCTCAAAGGCAAGACGGGTTTGTCTGACCTGTTCATCTCCTGCTCTCTGCTTTATGATGCATGCAGCTGCTTTAGCGTGTGAGTGTCCTGCCTGTGTCAGAGGGATTGTCAGAGCAGAGTTATCAATGCAAGTGTGTTTAAAACTTGGTACTTTTCTTTCCCCCCCACTCACTGTTTCAAGAATTTGGGTAGAAACATAGCCATAACTTGCCAAAGACAGTACAAAACCCAGCTATTTTATTTATTTTTTTCCAGGGGGAGGGGTGTTGTTTTCCCTAAGTAAGCTGGCTGGGTGAAACTCTTAAAAAGCTCTGAGGGAGTAGCTGCACACAGCTGGGGACAGAGGGGGAGCTTAATCCTTTGCAGCATGTCTTCACAAATCACTGGTCCATGCAAGGAGCAGCTATTGAAGGAGAGACATCTGCTCTGCCCTGTGCAGGTCCCCTTGCTGCCTGCCTTGCTGGAGTGACCGTAACAGGCTGGGGCTCCTTCTGAGCTGGCTTTTATTGGGCCCCCCAAGAGCTGATCTCAAACAGGTCTCCCTAATTCAGAGGGGTTAATGGTTTAATAACTACTGCAAGTGCTAATTGTATGGAGCAGGCAAGCAGCCTGGCTCAGAAAGATCCAACTGAGTCTGAGACTGCTTCAGCTGGTGACCAATTTATATTTATTGTCCCTCAGCTTCCTGACTTCCCCACTGAGGTAGTTGGCTCTTATTCTTGTGGGGAGCTCCTGGAGATGTCCAGCTTTTGCCCCTGTTTTCAGCCTCGCAGTTTTTTGTGTTATTTTCCAGCCTACCAGGTGTTAAAAGAAAAGTTATTATTTTCCATGCTGAAGATAAAGCTCCCTGGCTGCCTGCAGTTGCGCTGCCTTTGCGGCTGGAGGAAATGCATCTCCTGGGATTTGTTGTTATTAAGTGCAGGGGAAGTAGCTGGCACTGTCTCTTGCCCTCAGTGTGTGCTTCCTATTGGAAGCAAGGATTAGTTTTCCACCCTGAGCCTGGCTGGTGCTTGGCCTCCAGGGCTTCAGCTCTGAGGATGCCAGGTGAAATCTGGGGACAAGGAGTTCCTGCGGCATGAAATACTGAGTTACTGCCTTCAAGCTGGTAACAGAGAAGCTCAGGTTTACTACAGAGGAGGTGCTTGGTCAGGGCAGTGTGCTCCAGCCTGCTCTTACAGCCTGGCTGGGGCTGGAGAGCAGGCTGACTATAAAAATAGCCAGATGGGAGGATAAATGTGTAACTCAGTGCGGCTTGGGGAACAGACTGCTCTGCAGCCAGCTACCTGCAGCTCCTGCATTCAGGGGAAGTGCTTCAGCAAGGTGTCAAACTCTGCTTAAGGAGATAGCCAGGTCACTGTTGTTCATACACTCTCTAATCCAACCTCTTCCTAAAGCTAAGTAGATCTTAAGCCCTGACTAATCTTTGAAGTGTGAACCCGTGCCATTATCCTGCAGCAAGCTCCATGCTGCTATCTCCTGCTTTCACTGAGTGTGAAGGTCTAGGTTAGCTTACATCTGGCTCTTGTGGACTTCCTGAGCAAATAAGTCTCCAATGTGATTTTTGCCCTGTAGAAATGCAGGATTATGACCAGCAGGGCTTTTCAGACTGGTAGAAACAATATGAAGCTGCCTGAAGGACTCCAGAACTCTTTTATCAGGCTGGTATTGAGTTGCCTACATTATCTACCACCCAGAAGGAAAGGTACAAGTAAAGATGGAGTAAGCTTGTTGGGAGGAGATGAGCATTTTACTTCTGTTAACCTGTCCTGAATATCTTGGGCTATTTGAGAGCCTAGAGCTAAAAATCTACAAAATATCTGTACAGATGTGTATATACATATGTATAATGTATATGACTGCAAGAGAAGTGCTTTTTCAAGTGCAGCTGGAGTTCTGTTTATGTTTAAGCACTGCTGAAAGCATTTGTGCCACTTAAATGCTCCTGACTTCTTGAGAAGCTGTATTTAAAGCCAAACTATTTTTTAAGTGGGAAAAAACCCAACTTCTTGATGTTTCAATATGCCTGCTCTGAGCAGGCACTTGCTGAAGGGGTGTTGAGGTGAACATGATTTATATTCAGCTGCATGGTAAGGCAGAGTAGTTAGGCACTAACAATTTAACTTCCATAATATATTCTTAGTGCTTTTTGATTACAGGAATGCATAAAGAGTTAGCCTGGAAGAAGAGCTAAATATTGTCAGTTTTCAGCTATTTTTTGAATTAGGGGGGGGGATAGAGAAAATAGATGGGTGGCTCCTCATCCTTCAGAGATAGAAGATGCTAAAAATAAAGTGGAAGGAATCTAGGCTGGTGAAGAGTTTTGTGGTGGCTTCTGCTTGTCCCTGAGCACCTGGTGCATGTGTGTGGCCTGTGACAGGGAATTATTCTAGTAGCTCAAACCACTGGGATGAGGCTTCAGGGAGAATGGAAAAAGTGACTCAGTGTGCCCTGAAGGCTCAGCCAGATGCTGGAGCCTGCAGTGGTCGATTCTGAGCTGTGTTGCTGCACTCTGTGGGTACAAATGTGAGTGATACTTCTGCCTGTGCTGTTTGGGTGGGGAAATGGGGAGTGTGGCAAGTTTAGGGATTTATCCTGGTGCCCATGAGCAGTGAGACTGCACAGGGTGACCTTTGCTGTTCTTTGGAAGACTTAAGGATGGTTGTGACAGCCCCAACCTTTTTCCTTACTGATATTTGTTACTCCTGCAGCCCAAAGGGAAGAGCAGTTTGCTTGGGAATGATAAAATCTCACCTCATTCTACCCCCTGCCATGGGCAGGGGCACCTTCTACTATCCCAGGCTGTTCCAAGCCCCATCCAGCCTGGCCTTGGACTCAGGGATCCAGGGGCAACCACAGATTCTCTGGATAACCTGTGCCAGGGCCTTACCACCCTCAGTCAAAAATTTATTCCTAATATCTAATCTAAACCTACTCTTTGTCAGGTGAAAGCAATTTCTCCTTGCTCTGTCACTCTGTGCCCTTGTCCAAAGTCCCTCTCCAGCTCTCTTGGAGCCACTTTAGGCACTGGAAGGTGCTCCAGTGTGTTCCTGGAGCCTTCTCCAACTCTCTCAGCCTGTGTCTGTAGCAGAGGTACTCCAGCCCTGTGATCTGCTTGGCTCTTCTTTGGACTTACCCCAACAGCTCAAGGTCTTTCTCATGTTGGGAGCCCCAGAACTGGAGGAACACGTGAGAGAAAGAACTTGAAGCTGCTGATGGCTGTGGGCTCTTGCAGCAGGGTTTGACTGTGCCCTTGCCCAGCTGGCTCCTGGAGCTGGGAGGAGGAGCACCAGCCCAGGCTGTGTGTGACAGAGGGATGTTTGTGTGTGTGAGACTGGTGTGACCAATGTGTGGGGCCTTGGATGGCATGGGCTTCTGCTCTGGAGCGCTGGAGAAGCATCCCAGGACTGAGGCACGTGCCCAGGGGAGGTGGCTGGGAGCTGGAGCTGTGTGCCTGGAGGCAGCAGAGCTTGCCAAGGGCAGGCTGTCAGCTGGCTGGATTTCTGCTGGGCTACAGGCTCAGTGCTCTCTTGGAAACTCTTGACTGGCACAGTGATTCTGGGTGTGGAACTTTCTGGAAGTGCCTCCATGGTGCAGTGCAGCATGGGCACTGTGCTAATGCAGCAGTGCTGCTGGCTGGGCTGTGGCTTCCTCTGTGGGGCCAAGGACCTCAGCCAGGACATGATGCAACCCTAAAGCCTCCTGGTGTGGCTCTGGTCCTGTGCTGTCCCCCACAGACCCATCTTGTTCTCTGTGCAGGGTCCTTGCTCTCCTCCTGTGCCAGTGCACAGAACAGGGCTGGCCATAGAAAACCTGAGACTTCATGGCCCTGACAAGCATCATTCTTGGACTTGGTTCAGGACAAACTGGTTGATCCACAGCTTTGCTTGCAGGTCTGGTGCCTGCTGGGTGGTAGAGCATAGCACTCTGCTGCTGGGGTGAGAGCTGGGCAAGGTCTGTCCTGGGCTTCAGAGCAGCATTTGGTTCTGTCTGGCATCTTCAGGTAGGGTAGGCTGAGAACAGTAAAACAGATGGGGGAATTCATTGCTTGGAATGTGTAGGAGGGGTCACAACTGGCTTGGTCTCCCAGTTATTTAAGGCCCAGGGTCCATGGTTAGTTATGGGAATGTGTAACCTTGGTTCCTTTTTCCCCTTCTAGGACTGTGGATTTGTCAGCCTTGCAGGCTTCTGGATGCATCTTTCCTCAGCCATGAGGAGATCAAAAGGATTTAATATCTGTGTGGTCACCTGGAGCATCCTGCTCTTGTCCTGCAGCCTTCCATGCCTTGCTCAGCCTCTGGAGGAGACTGGTGTGACAAAGGTCCAGCACGGCCCCTGGGCAGGGAATGGGCTGGAGGATGAAAGGACAGGCATGGTGGACTTGAAAAACAATGTGGGTCCTTCTGAGCAGGCAGTTTCTGAGGAGCCATGTGCAGTGTCAGCACAGCCATCTGGGACACCTGTGGATGAAGCTTTCACTGCAGGAGGAGAAGCTCTCCCTGCCAGCCCGAGCCGTGTTGTCCCCAGCAGCCAGGCCCTGGGGGCTCACCCCTCTGCTGGGGCACTGCCTGCTGTCCCTGAGGAGGAGCTGGCTCCCACTGAGGCACAGCTGGATGAGGATGAAGCACTCAGGGCCATGCTGACCACAGCTGTGACCACGCTGAGCCCTCCAGTCCAGGAGGAATTTGGTGGCCCTATTGGTGACACCACAACAGAGGGTGGTGTGGCAGTGGAGCCCAGCCCTGCTGGCCCCTCAGCAAACCCCCTTTCTGGGACCACTGTGGAGGAGGAGGAGGAAGCAGAGAGCAGCTCCCAGCCCTCACTGAGCCCCAGCTCTCCCAGCTGGGAAGCAGCCAGTGGCCACCCTGTCATCCCAACTCCCCAGGCTGCGGGTGTGACCTCTGAGCTGGAGATGCCGAGACCCCGCACAGGGAGCCCTCTGAGATCCCTGGCTCCACCAACATCTGTGGCTGCCAGACATCCCCTTGTGGCAACTGAGGCCTCCCTTCAGCCAGAAGCAGGGACAGGTGTCACACAACAAGAGCTGTCCCCCACGGCTGGCACTGTCACCATTGCTCCTATGGACACTGTGCCACCTGACTGGGATGACACAAAACTGGGGGACATCAGTCAAGGGGGAAGCATGTCTCACCAGGAGGTGACAGAGGAGCTGGGGACAACAGAACCGTCCCAGACCACTCAGGAGGATGTGGAGGAGGAGGATGCCACAAGAGGAGTGCCTTCCCCAGTGTCCCCTCCACCAGCGCCTGGGCTTGCCAAGGAGAGCAACTGCACAGTGCCAGTGCAAGGGGAGGAGCTGCCAGCAACTTCCACAGCCAGCAATGATGCCTTCCACACTGGGAACCTGTCAGATGCAGACACAGCTGATCTTGGCTCTCTGGAAAACATAAGTGCAGTCACAGCAGAGGAGGAGAAGAGCGTCCCTCCGTCACAGCCGGAGGCTGCTGTGGTGACAGATACCCAGCCTGAGCTCGCTCCTACTCTGGGGAGTTCATGGGAAGGTAAAACTTGCCTGTTACAGGCACTTGCCTTTCATTTCTGGGGTTTTAAGTGAGCTGTACCAAGCAACCTGTGAGCCATTGATGTTTTTAATGCCTTTACAAGGCTGCTGAGGTCAAGAGGTCTGTGCAGAGAGCTGCTGGCCCTTGTCACAAACTCCTCATGTTGCCTCCTCACCCCATAGTGAAGCTGTGGCCAGGCTGTGTTGTCCAGTGCTTGTCCCAGCTCTCATCTGCAGGCAGAAATCCTCCTGCCACAGGCTGATGTTGTCACCTTGCCCTGCACATACCTCCAGAGATGGCATCTGCAGCCTCATGACATTTATGTCAGAGTGTTTAAAATATAAAAGAAATGCTAAAAAAAAAAGGCTGGTCAGGTGCTGGGCAATGACATGTTTCTAGCTTGATGAGGACTTTTTAATTGCTGGGCATCTTTATTCTTCCCTCTTTGGCTGCAGATGCAAAATGATGATTTCCCTTCATTGCATCCAAAAGACCTAATTTTTGCTGTAAAAGAAGGGAAGATAATTGCAGGCTGGAGCTGAAACCTGACTGATTAATTTCTAGATTAATTTATAAGCCCTTGACTTGTCAGCAGGTTCCCTCTCTGCTGTTTCCCAGATGTTGGGGAAGCAACACTGTCTTTAGGACTTGTGCAACAAAAATAAACCCTTCTGCATAGCTGAGGTTTCAGTGGGAGCTGGTCACTAAAGGCTGGACCTGCTGCTGGCACTGTGGCTCTGGAATTTTTAATGCATGGAGTTGTATTCCTTTTATATTGTATCAGATGTGTGCTCTGCTGCTGTCAGCTGTCCTGTGAGTGTGCCCTGACACCTGTTCTTGCTGTAGGTGTTACTCAGGAGGTGACAACAGCTGCCCAGGAGGCTGATGCTGCTCTGTCAGCTGTGACAGAGGTGCCTGGTGCCACCCAGGGAGCAGGGGCTGCCAGCTTTCCTCAGGAGAACAGCGGGGAGGACACCCAGATGCTGACGGCTCCCAGTGCCACCGAGGTGCTGGTGGCACCTGGTGCCTCCTCCACAGTGAGCCCTGTGCATGCAGAAGGTAGGACTCTGCTTCAGGGACTCACTTCCACACAGGATGAGGTGGTACATCTGAAACCAGTGTCAGAGCCTGCACACTCCAGTCTCAACACAACATCCTTACTGAAGTGACTTTTTATTGCTAAGTTTCTGTCTCTAAAGCTGGGCTACTGCTGTGTTCTGCCCACACTGAGATCCACCACATTGGAATTTGCCAGCACATGGATTTCTTTGCCCCAAATAAGTGAAGTAGAGGTTAAAAAAAAAATGCCCCAACCAAACAACCCTCCCATCTGTCCTTTCTAACAAGGTGCCTTTAGCTTTAGACACTTAAACAGTTTTTTGCTTATGGAGGGAGAGTTCTTACTTCTGGAACCCAAGGCAGTCACAGCTTGCTGATGCTCGGTCCAGAGGATGAAAACATTTCATCAAGATTACACGGGAGCCAGTGGTGGGGGAAAGACACCCTCCTGCAGGAGCCTTGGGTGTGGAAACCTGCACTGATACTCACTTTTCCTGAGCAATGGTGGGTTGTTCTCAGGTTGATGTAGCTCATACAGAAATGCTCTAAGCAGTCATGTTCCTGTAGCTGCTGCCTGCTGGTTTGGTGTCACCTTGGCAGGTACATGTTGGAGCCTGTTTTTCCTACAGGAGTGTGGCAAAGGGTCCCTCAGCATGAGGCTGACTTCGAGCTGGAGTGTATTTCTGTGGTGGTGGGGACAATTGTAATGAAAATGCTGCTGGGCAGCTTTTCTGGTAGTTCTTGTGTTGCAGGGCATCAAAAGAAAAGAGTTGTTTGCATTATATCTCTAAATTTAGGGTCCATTTGTAAGGGGGAGAAGGTTCTTCTGGCAGTTTCCACTAATTGAATTTGCTTCTGGGATTTAATTATAAATTCAACCAACTTTTATCTTTGTAATGAACTATTTGATCTGTCACTTGGCTCAGTTCTCAGCTGGTGTCTTGGTGCTCTGATCTTGTAATGGTGTGGTGAAAGCAATGGAATTAAAACCTTTAAGGGTTCCCCCCTCATTAGAGGGAACCTCCTTTGCTGGCTGCCCTTGAGGAGAAAGTTTCATTACAGCAGAGTCACATCTCAAAGGAAACAAAAGTTTAGTGACTTCCTTTGAGTTAAATTTTCATTAAGGAGTTTCTTGGATTTTTTTTTTTTTAAAAATATTGTTAGGCTGAGTGGCTGATGTTTCTTGTCTCCTGTAGATCTCACAGATGGGATCCTGGTCACCAGTGAGAAAGCTGTTCCAGCCACTGGTGGGATGTCTTCTAGTCCAGCTGGACAGACAGAGGAGCCATCCAGCAGAACTGTGGTCCTGGTGACTCCAGCATCAGTGGCCTCCTCTGTCAGGAGAACAGCTCTTCCCCCTGTGCGGAGGATCAGCACGGCCGTGAGCTACGGGCTGGACCGCCTGGAGTCAGAAGGTACCCCTGAGCCCCGGGGCCAGGTGGCCTCCTGTGGAGTGCCACACCTGCCCTGACAGCCCCCAGTTTGTCTGTTTGGCTTACACCTGTGTGTGCACATCTTACTGTTCCCAATAAAGTTGTTGAACAGCCTGTCCTCTCCCAGGAGGCACAGGAAGCAAGCAATGAACAGTGTCCTGGAGGATGCCTGAAATTCCAGTGGCTGTGGGGGTGGGTTTTTTCCTGGATAAGGGAGCAGCAGTGGTGCTGCTGTTGCAGCAGGGTCTGGCTCTGCACACCTGTAATGGTGTGTGCATGCAGTGCAGAGCTCTGTGCCAGGGAACACCCACCAAGGGGTGCTGAGGTAAAGCAGATCCTGCCCTGGAGCTGCTCTGCAGCTCTGATCTGCCTTCTATTCAGCTCACCCACAATTTTCCTGCAGAGAACTGTTTCTTGCTCCCTTTCCTGCTTGAACTCCTCTCTGCTTGCTCATCCATCCAGTTCTGTGCTCCAGTGTCTGGGCTGATACCACCTGGCAGGAATTAATCTTTCCGCCTGTTTTTGCTCCCCTTCTTTTATCTTGACCTTCTCTTGCCGTAGTATTTTACTGCAAAGGTTGGCAGCTCTCCAGGGTGGCATTGCCAGATGGTATTTCTCCTCTGAGTAGAGGTGGGGTGCTGTAGACAACAGCTCATCAGCATCTTTTCTCTGCAGGAAGCAATAACTCTCACTCCTGTTAAGTTTAGAGGGCAGCAGAAGCTGGGAGCCTTCCCCACTGCATATGCCTGGCTTGCTGCTGGCTTTGAAGCCTTCCCTGAGCTCTCTGGGATTCCAACTGCAGCATTCTCCCCTTGCCAGGATGAATCTTGGATGTCACTGGCAAGGCAAGGATGTGGTGCTGATGGGAGAGTGGCAGCAGGGGAGGAAAAGGTCGTGTGTGTAGGGAAAACCTCATCTTTCAGGCTGGGAAATGAGGTCTCTGCTCAGCAAGAGCAGTGTGATTCAGGAGGCTAAAGTGTTTTATAGCCCTCTGGGATCTCCTTTAGAAGCCTGGGTTTCTGCATGGGAAGATAAGAGGGATTTCAGTTTCAGCTGAGCTTTGGTCTCTCTCAATTTGAGACCTTCTGCACAGGCATTAAAAAAACCTTTCTGCTCCAGTACAGGACTGATGCAACTTTATTGGATTCCTACTGCCCGGAGTTTTCTGTGCTCTGGGATCTTCTAAAGGCAATTGTGGGCTGTAGCTGGAACCAGGTACCCTCAATGATGAGGACTCAAGTGGAAATGTGGGTTCCTTGGCTCTGCAGGTGCCTGTTCTCAAAGGGACATGGGGCTCTTTGTGCTGTGTGGATTTGACAGCTGGCACAGCTTTTGTGGGCTAAACCTCCTCTGCTCAGCCTAGACCTTTGTGCAGGGAGCCAGAAGGTTCCCTGGTGCTGGGGATCATGAATCCACATCTTGTAAAATGGGGCAACTTGGAGAAAGGCTTTCTTTTCTGCCTGGGGATGGTGCTGCCCCAGTTAAACACAAAGGAAGGCTTTTTGAGCTACAACTCTGCTCCCTTAACATCTTTTTCTGTTTAATAGCAACTGGGGGGTATCCATTCCTCATGGTGGAGTGGTATTTGGAAGCTTAGCTCCCAAAATTACAGTTCTGGTGTTTACTCTCAGAATATCTAGATGTTCCCAGATCTGAGATCTGTTTGGGGGTGTTTTCCTTTAAAGTTACACAGAGCTCCAGCCCAGGATACTCAGGTTTTTTGGGGATGCTGTTGGAAGCACATGGTTGGGTCCCTAATGAGGGATCTTGGCCCTTTGGGGAGAGGCTGTGCCTGGCTCACTGTTGGAAGAAGTGCAAGGAGCTGAGTGAGCTCTGCTGCCTTCAGTGGGGTCCTGCTGACTTGCCTCACTGAAGGCCTGGCTCATCATTAAATATAAACCCCTGCTGCTCAGCTCACTCTGTTTCTTGGGGACCATCTGTGCCAAACTGCCTGTGGTTAATTGCATCTGTGTATTCACCTGCCTGGCTCGGATGCAAAACTGTTTTAAAAAAATCAAATTGCACAGACAGAATGAAAATATGTCTAGATGAGCTTATCCTCCTCTCTGGTGGACTCTGGAGAGATGAGCTGGGTAACAAATATCCTCCTGCCTTGGCTCCATGGTGAGCTTGGTTCTACTCACCCTTCCTAGTCAGAGAAATCCTATAAAGGGATTATAGGATATGGGGACAGGGCACAGCAGAGGATAAGGCTTGCTTGTCTGGGGGAATTGATTATGTATTTTGTCTCTGCCTAGAGTTTGTATGTCTCTCTAGCAAGATGAGCACTGCAGAGTTCTCTGTAGGGCTTCTGGGTACACAGAGCTGTCGGTTCAGCTGCCTTACTGATGATCACCTCCCAGTGCCATTCAAAAAGTGACTCTTTGGAAAGAAACCCCATTCCTTTTCAACTTGATTCCTGTGCTGTAACATCTGCCACGGTAGGTGTTGGCAGAGGTGACTGCACACCCCCAGTGTGGCAGCGTTTGGCAGGTGGGGCTTTCTGAAGTGGCAGGACATGTGTCATGCTCCCTCTTCTGCAAAATCCTTGCAGTTTTCAGCTGAAACCTGCTGGCTAGAGCACACCAGACTCTGGTCCTGTTGCTGTGGGTGAGTCTGTATCTGGCCCTGCAGGCTCAAGATTTGGTTCTCTTGTGTGCCACCACCCTGCCTGGACAGCAGGGGATCATGGCATCACAGAGTGGGTTGGGATGGAAGTGACCTCAAAGAGCCTCTCATCCCAACCCCTGCTGTGGGCAGGGACACCTTCCACTATCCCAGGCTGCTCCAAGCCCTGTCCAGCCTGGCCTGGAACACTGTCAGGGATCCAGGGGCAGCCACAGCTTCTCTGGGCACCCTGTGCCAGGGCCTGCCCACCCTCACAGAGAAGAATTTCCTCCTGCAGTCTGATCCCCTTGCTGGGAGTGAGCTGCTCACACAGTTCAGGGGTCAGGAGGGCTGCTGGCTGTGGAGGGTGCTCAGAGCTTTGATTAAAGCAGGAGCTGCTCTGGCTGCTGTGTGGTGGCAGGAGCAGCCAATAGCTCTGAAAATGGACAACTTAAAATCAGTTGCTCCGGAGGAGGAGGCCTTAACCAAGTAGCTCTTTTGTGGAGTGTTCCCAATTAATTAGGATGGCTCTCAGCTGGATGAGTTTGGAGTTTCATGTGTGTTTTCAGCCTGCTGTGAACCATTTTTTGTACCATAGAACAGTTTAGGTTGGAAAAATCCTTCAGGATTGAGTCCAACCTTTGACCAAATTACCTCTGTGTCAACCAGGCCACGTCCAGTCTTTCCTTAAACACCTCCAACCATGGTGATTCCACCACCTCCCTGGGCACCCTCTTCCAGTGTTTAATCACCTTTTCTGTGAAGAAATTACTCCTGAATATTTCAGAATTTGTAGCCATTTACATAAATTTATAAAAGATGCTGCAACTCCCCATTTTTTTCTGAGCTGTGTCACAGTAGAAGGGACTTTCTTTTTGATTTGAGGGGTGTGAAGGGTATTTTTCCCAGAAATTAAGGTTCTGAAGGGGATTGCTGTTTGGACCTTGACTGTATGGATTAAGATCTGCCTCACTGAATCTCTACAACCCTGTTAAAATTTTGAATTAGGATGCAGAGGTGTAAATAAAGCAGGCACTTAACCCAGCATGGTTAACTAGGCTGATATTATAATTCCTCACCAGCTCTTTGGATATCAACTAAATTGGCAAGGAACAGAAGATTTAAAACAAAGCACATGCAAAATGAATTATTAAATGGTTTTGGTACACACTTTTCTCTTGCTTCTTGTTTATTGCTACCACTGAAATGGGAACTGCTCTGTGTTGACCTCTATCTTCATCACAGTAGGTGGTGGCTCATCCCTCATTCTCCTTTGTAGCAGAAAATGGTAAGAAAAAGTGACAATTCCTTGTATCAAGCCCAACTTCTTTTTTCCCTCTCCTCTCTCTTCTGAAAGTGTTTGATACAGACATGCACAGTTTTTCTGTACAGCCTCAGCCAGGGCCTCACTCCACTCATGGACAAGGATTCCTTCCTAATCTCCAATCTAACCCTGCCAGGTTGAAGCCATCCCTCTTGTGCTGTCATGCACTGGTCCAAATTCCCTCTCCAGCTCTCTTGGATCCCCTTTAGCACTTGGAAGGGTTTTCTAAGGTCTCCCTGAGGCTTTTCCCATCTCTAGGCTGAGCACCCCCAGCTCTGTTCTATGTGATGTTCTGGCATTGTTGTGCCTCCAACAGGCTGGATGACATTTCTTAGTCTGACCCACCTTGGTTCCTGTTCTGACCAAGCTTTGTTTGAATTTTGAACTGTATCAGATTTTTCATTTGTCCAAAAAAGAGGGGTTCACTTAAATATCACTTTAATGTTGTAGCTTTCCCATGCTTATCTCCAAGCTTGAATGAAAACAGCAGATAAACCCCCACAGTTGCTGTTATTGAAATGTAATTGGGCTGTGTGAGTGAAAGTTTTTAATGAGTTTCTGTTTGTTTTAATCTGAGGATTAAGCAGTTTACCCTCCTGGCTCAGGGGAGGTGGGTTCAGATAAGCAGGGATGTGGCAGTAAGGCTCTGCAAGGAACATTTTCTGCTGGAGTTGCTCATGGCTGGGGTCCCTTACCAGGTGGGAGAGTGTTGCTCATGGGGCTTTTTTTGGGAAGCTTTTTTCTGCAGGGATGCTGCAGGAGGGGGATGAAGGATTTGGGAAGAAGCAGGAGCTCAGACTAAAAGTGAGCTGAGTGGACTCAGTCATGTTCCCTTTGGCTCCTCTTAGTCCTCACAGGGCTTGAATGCTTCTGGAAAAAAAAACACCAACAGCCTTTCCTAATGAAAATGGAATTAGTGTCTCTGCTGGTGTTTTTTTAGTTAGTTTGTTTTTTGTTGGGGTTTGTTTATTTTGGGTTTTTTTTATGGTTTGGAAAAATAGTCCTACACCCACAGCCCTTTTCCTGGGGAAGGCATTTTGTTAAGACATGT